TGTCCCTCATAGACTCAGCTCACATCCCTTCATTAATAAAGCTGTTCCCCCAACTATATCAGTTAAGATTAAGCTCAACTATATAGTAAAGACAATCCCAAAGGAGAAGTTCATTTTCCTCTCAGGTAAAGGAAGCCTGGTTTGGGGTGGCAGAGAGCTGCACAAAGGCATCAGGGACCCAGGCTCCTTCCTGCTCAAGGATCTGCCATCCCTAATGTGTGATTCATCCTCGTGGCTCAGGATGGCTGCTGGAATTCCAGCCATCACATTCATTTTCCAGGAAGCAGGATGGAAGAAGATAACACCCAGTTTCTTTTAAAGAGGCTTCTTGGAAATCCCACATGCCACATCCATCTCATTGGCCACAACTTAGTCAAACCCATGCCAAGCTGCCAGGTTCTGTAGCTGCAGCTGAAAGGGGGAATGGGTACTGAAAGAGAGGTAGCAACATCAGAAACACTGTCCAAAATCCTCTTAACCCAGAGGATTCTAGGTGCTTGTGGTTAAAGTAATGATAGTCCTTGTACAAAATACCTAAACACTTTGCGGTCAAGTTTCTTATGCCCTGCTTGGGCAGGCTGACTCCTCCGCTGCTGATGTGGCCCCAAGGCTGGACAGGGCAGGCTGCAGGAGCACAAGGGAGAGAACAGTTAATGCCACTTGCTGCAAAAACTCCTGCCCAAGCCGGCCCTGAGCTGCGTGAGCCATGATTTGTGAAGACAGAAAAAGGCAACAGGGAATCCCAGTCTGGGGACCAGCCCGGCAAAGGCAGAGAGCGAGTGGTTCCGGTTCTGAGGTCTGGGGAAGGACCCAGGCTGCTGGAGACGGCTGGCCTGTTTCCAGTGCTCCCCACCCCCACACCCAGTGATGCGAGGGGTCTCTGGGGGTTTGAACTTCCCTGAGACCCGTGGATTTGACCAAGAATGTAAAGACAAGAAGCAGAGATTGTCGTCTGAAATGCCCACAGGCCAGGCAAGTGGGAGGGGAGGAGCCAGCTGTGCTCAGCCCCCTCCAGCTGCTGTCCCGTGGGAACGGGGCTCGGTAATGCCAGATCTTTTTATTTTTGAAGAAGCCGGAAATCCAGAGTTTTGTGTCAAATCTCCCAATGTGTAAATGGTGGTACCACAGCAGACAAACACAAACGTGCCGTGAGCAAAGCAAAACCTGCTGCAAACCCAGGACCGCTGTCGGATCCTGAATCACACAGCGACCTGGCTCTCGGCGGGGAAAGCCCAAAGATTCAGACCCCCGTGGAGGAGAACGGAGGCTTGTCCAAGGTCTCCACGCCAGTGTGGGCAGAGCTTGGATCAAACCCGGTGTTCTCACTCCAGGCCCAGTGCTCCTCTATCAGTGGGCCTGAAATAGAAGACCGGCCTCTTTGTGCTATTCCTGTGCTCGACAAATGCCAGAGAGATGTTCATTAGTTCATCTTCCCAAAATAACTGACAGAACAGGGCCAGAGGGCAACAGGAAGACCCCAGGCTGCCCCCACAAAACCCAGGGCTCCTGGAAAGTGTGGGATGTGTTTCACCGCCGGCGCCGGTCCACCTGCATCTGGAGCGGCCTGCCTGGCCCCAGCTCTGGGGGGCCGCTGCTGAGTCTCGGGGAGAGATCCCAGGAGCTCCAGTCTGTCCAGTCCCCGGCAGCTCGTGTTCCTTCCTTCATCCTCCCTTGTTTCCCGGTTTAAAATGACGTTCATATTAATAGCAGGAGTCCTGGAAAATTCAGACGAGCACGATAAATAAAACTCCCCACAATCAGCTGCGTCAGCTTCAGTCCCTCCCGTCTGTTTTCTGTGCTCTGGACGAGGGAGGAGGCGCGACAGTGGGAGCTCACAGGACGTGCTTTTCCAGCCTTTTTCTTTTACTGCATCTTGAGCATTTCCTCCAACGCTTAATCTTCTTTCATCCCAGCGTCGTCGTGGGCACCGGCGGATTCCGTCGTCTAGATGTATTGGAATTCACGCGGCCCTTCCCTAGTTCTTGAACATTCCAGTTGTCTTCAGTTCCCTGGTCTACACGCCGGTGCTCTGCATGTCCTTGTAGCTCCATACGTGGATGCACCCAAAGGGACTTCGGCAGCCTCAGTTCCCAGATGTGGACTTGGTCAGGCGGTAGGAAGTTCAAACGGGCTTGGCTACCCATTCCACAGGCCGTGCTTGAGACGCGGAGGGCCAAGCGTGTTATCTGCTGGAGAGGATTTCAGGGAGGCCCGTGCGCCTGCGCCCCGTCCCACTATCTCTGGCGCGTCTGTGCGTCGTCTGCAAGCACTTGGCAGCCCGTGTGCGTTTGATTTATGCCCAGAAAGCCTCTGACGCCTCCGCCAAAGCTAGTTCATCAAGGACGGCCGTGCTGGGATGCAGCAAGAACCGGAGGGCAGGGCGCCCGGCCAGGGCACTCATCTTAAATTCTCTCCAGCGCCCTCCTGACTCTGCGATGCGTCAAACCGACTCTCAAAGCAGTTGCCACTTGGATTTCAGGGAAAGACCCTTGAAATTTCAGGGGGGGCCTGGGCACCCAGCAAAAAAAAAAAACCGCTACGCCTTTCTGTGTCCCAGTGCCATTGTGGAGGGGAGAGAGAGCGGAAAGGGGGGAAGGGGGTTTCCAGCAGCAGCAGGGCAAGGAAAGGCGGGTTCGGTTTCCTCTGCTCAGCCAGACCCTGCAAGCGGGTGGTGGCAGAGGTTGGCGATTGCTTTTCTGTTCAACTCTCAGCGCGTGCGAATTCCACTGCCAGGGTCTATGGTTTGACCCCGCCCCGTTCCCCAAATCAAAGAGCTTTAGAACTCTGAGTGCAGCGTCAGCACCTCCTCTGCTGCCCCAGGGGCCCCGCTCCAGGTGTCTTTCCATAGTAAACCGGAGCTTTGAAGAGAGCGAGAGAGAAGACTGTGTCTTCGGAGAAAAGCGGTGTGTGATCACCTCGGCAACAGCCGTGTCGTTCATCCACGCCGTCTGGAGTCATCGTCGTCGAGAGCGTACGAGGCTTAATCCCGGCCCTGGTACCACACTCCCTGACCCCCTGTTCGTGGCTCTGGTAAACAGGCAGCTCAGGAAAAGCCACCCTGACATTTTGATTTGTTAGGGGGTAATTCATTTTCAAGGCAAGTAAATAGCTTGTAAACTTGGGGGTTTACCACGTTAAGTGATTAAGAAGTAAGCAGCTATAAAACTGGTTCTGTGAGGCTGTGCGGATTGTCCCCAAGGAATCTTCCTGACCAGTGTGGATTTGCCGGATGTTTGCCACAGTTCATCCGAGTGCCCCTCCCCCCCTGCACACACACAATATATCACACAGCGCCTCTTCCTGAGAACTCCAAGGATGTGAACCCTGCTGTCACCCCTGCAAGAAGCCCGCTGCGGTGGGGGGGGGAGGGTGGGCAGTACCCTCTGCGAAAGAGACGACCCACCACGCTTGGCACAGGCCAGGTCGCTTTGCCAGCCACGTGGTCTCTTGGGCAACTGCCTGCTCAGCTCAGCCCCCGGGAGGAGGCTGCCACGGTCTGTGTACACAAAGGGCCGTGGCTGTGTTCCAGCAAGACTTCACTTACCAAACAGGCAGCGGGCTGTAGTTTGCCAACCCCTCCTCCATGCCCCGCTGCCTTCCTGAGTTCTGAGAAAGCTGAGGTCAGGGCTGGAGGACCTTCTGGAGGAAGCGTCAGCGGGGCTGGACCGTGCAAGGTTCAGGTAGCACAGGTGGCATGAACGAGGTCTGGGGCTGGCTGTGGCGCACACTCACTTGGGGCAATGGCCGGGGGGGCCAGGGTCCCCCCCCAGTGTGGTGCCGCTTCTCAATCGCAGGACAGAGGCAGTGTGATCCACAGAGCACTGTCACTGAGGCTCCCGCCCAGTTCCTACAGGGGTGGGGAACTCGCGGCCTTCTAGATCCTTCAGTGTGGCTTTTGACTGAATCTAGATTTTACAGGTGTTCTGTGTATTCAGTCAAAAGGCTTCACTGAAGGATCTAGAAGGCCACATGTGGCCTTAAGGCTGCAGACTCCGCACCCCCTCCCCGAGATCACGGTCTGCAGGAAGGCACACATCCGCCAGAAGAGGGGCTGTCGGCTGGGCAAAAGGGCTTAGATTTACCGTAAAGAACACGTTTGCTGAGTTCTCGGCACATGCCACGCCCTGTGCTGGGCTTGATGAAAGTTCTCTCATTTTTATCCCCACAGCAGTGGGGTCACAAGAGTCGGTAATGACACTCAGGTCGTGGCTGGGAAACAGTCGGAGAAACACGACAGCTGTTCGCCTGGGGTGTCCGTGTGGGAAGCAGGGCTTCGCCCAGGCCTGAGTGTCTCCAAGATGCGGGGCTCGTCCACCCCCGTGCTGGCTTGGCTGCAGATCGCAGAAACGTGCGCGCAGTCCCCGCCTCTGGGTCCTGGTGTTGCTCGGAGGGCTGTTCGAAGCTCTGCCGTCAGTCACTCTCCACCAGAGCTTTCGTTGCCCCTGAATGTGACCTCCCGGGAACCGAAAGGGCAGGGCAGGTTCTCCGGCAGGGAGACTCCCAGGGTGCTCCCCTGCCGCCAGGGCGTGACTTCAGAGCTTGCGCCTGGTGCCGTCCCTCTGGCGGAGTGTGGGTGCGTCAGCAGAGGCCTGAGCTTCTGCACGACGATGTCCAACATCCCCGTGCCAACTTGCCAGGAGCCTTGGAATCCCGAGGCTGCGTGTGCCCCTTCAAGAGCACAGCTGGGGCTCTGCTGAGCCAGAATCAGGCACCCAGTTTGTGACTCACAGGCTCTGGGGCTGGCTGCACCCTTCTCCTTCAAATAGCTTCAGCATGTGTCAGGTCAGCCCCACGACCAGCGAGGTCAGCTCGTTCCAGGGCAGAGCAAGCCTTGCAAGGAGCTGGGTCTGGGCTTTTTCAAGGGGCTGCAACGTGGAGGCCGCCAGTCCTGCCTGTGAGGCGGGGGGTTCGCCCCAGTGTCTCGGGCATGGCGTGGGGGTGGCAGCCCCTGCTGGGCCCGCAGCTCCTTCTACGTGGTCACCTACCACCTTGCCTTGCAGGCTTCGCCGTGGCCCAGTGCATAAATCAGCACAGCTCCCCGGCCCTGTCCTCGCAGTCGCCACCCTCTGCCAGCGGGAGCCCCAGCGACAGCGGGAGCACCAGCCACTGCGACTCGGGAGCCGCCAGCTCGTCCTCCACCCCCTCCGCAGCCCAGAGCCCAGCAGGTATTGGTCACGTGACTCGGTGGGGGGGGACAACTGGGGAACCCCGTGAACCTTCACCGCCACAGCCACTGACCCTCGGGCCCTCCTGGTCGCGGTGTCTGGGGGATACTGCCGCCCAGGCGTGTTCTGCGTGCGTCTAGTGCAACGCTGCCCACGGGCCGGGGCAGCTCCCAGCTGGGGAGGACTCACTCCTTTTTCAGGCTGGTCCACTGCGAGGCCGTCGCTGACTGCAAAGCTGATGGGCGGCAGGCGGGCCACGCCTCAACCCACCCGCTGTCACCTCCGAAGTCTTGGGCATCACAGGGAGAGGTCTGCTGAGGTGATGGTTTGCACCCGGGGAAGAGAATTGCGTCCCTGCTCATTTTTTTCCCCTCCGTGACATACCGGTCTCCTCTTCACACGTTTGGTGTGGTCCAGTTGTCCGAGCAGGTGCACTTCGCCACCTTTTGAGAGTTTGGCAGGATGCGATGGAGTCGCGTCTTGCCGTCCTTTAACTTACGCCACTTCGAACATGGCAGGAGGGAAGCCCTGAGTCAGCCTGGAGCAGACTGGGACGTGCTCCGACCCTTGTCCTTGGCTGCCGTGAGCCACTTGCACGCGGGCCCCTCGCTGCCCTGCCGGAGACCCCGGGCAGTGAAGACACAGGGCGTGTTTCTTCAGCCACAGGGCCCCAAAATGCAGCCGCAGGAGCAGGACCCAGGCAGGGATGGGCCTCCAGGGCTTCGAGCCAGTGCGGTGCCTCATGCCCCAGCCACACCCCGTGGACCTGGAGGCCCCACAACTCTGGCCTGCCCTTCATGGTTCCTGCAAGGTCCGATCCAGAGCCCTCCCCCGTCGTATTTCAGAGCATCTGACCCGACTCCTGTTAGGTTATGGATTGCCGGGTCGCGACAAAGGAGACGTGTCAGGGCTGTGCCACTGCAGCGCCAGGGAGATTGAGGGCCCTTGGCCGCCATCCCCTGAGCCCCAGGAGCCGAGATCTCCTGGGGTACCCTCACCTCTCTCTCAGGCGTTTTCAGCTTCCTGGCATCTGTGCCTGGGGGTCAGGGCACCCCAGCCTGCCTGTGCCTCCCCCCAGCGAAGCGTCCATTGCCTCCATCTCCTGTTGACATTCACGAGGCCCAGGCAGGAAGGTCACCCTCGCCCCCTCAGTGAGACCGCCCTCCACTCAGCACCTGTCCTCTGTCTGCCCCAGGCTGGGGGGAGGGGACCGCCCCTTCGGAGCTCTCTCTGACCCCGATTTAAGGTTGGCTGCACATCCAAGCAGTTGCCGCCACTGCTCCCGGGCTCCTAGCTGGCCAGTGCAGGCAGAGGATGCCCTCCGTGTCCCTCTTCAGCCTGTTCTCCTGCTTGCTCGGGGGCAGGCACGCGGGGCGTGTGTTCGTGTGCTTGTGTGTGCATCCACCTTCTGCCTGCGTGTGTACGTTTCTGTATCTGCGTGTGCACCCAAACGCACATATTTACCATCGCTTTGGGGCCAAAGGGTTCCTTCCTGATGTGGCTGCGGATGCCTTTCTTTGATTTTTAAGAAGGCACAGCCAACAGCCAAGTGAACAAATGAGCCGTGCACTTCGTTGCCTAAAACCGAAACCTGCAGGGACCCACGTTATCAGAATCGGGCCTCTGTACACAGATGCTCACCTAATCGTGACATCCGGGGCTTCGACGCTGCACCTTCCCCTGGAGGCTGGGGGCTGCAGCGGACACTAGTTTCTTTTTTCTGGCCTCCCTCAGCCCTTCCGTCCCTATCCCCACCGTTCCCTGCACAGTGCCAATGACGTATCTTCTCATCTCGGAAATCCAGGGGCTCTTAGCTTGGCTGTCAGGTGGCCAGGTGGCTGCAGTCGATAAGCGATAGCCAGGACCTCCGAGGTGCCCGCTCCCATTCGGCGCGTCCCGGCAGGCTGGCGGAGGCAAGTGCACAGGGCCTCATTTTTTATGCCGCATGACAGTAAAAGCCTGAGGCCCAGCCTGCCTGTCCGACTCTGCAGACACGAGATAACTCACCTCCTGATGAAGGGCCTGCCTGGCGGCAGCTCGTGCTCCACTCTCACGGACGCCTTGGGACGCAGCTATTGATCCCTAGAAGGAGAGCGCATCAGAGCCCGTGAGCTCGTCCTGTCTCGCTGCCAGACTTCCAGGCCAGCTTCAGCACCCCTGTCCATCCAGAACAAAGCAGGTGGCATTCCCATGTTCCCTGTAGGAGTGGCTCTAACATCTGCCTGGTATCCTACCAAGCCAAGGACAGAAGGAAGGCAGCTCTTGTTGGGACGGGAGCCCTTCTGCCAGTTGCCCGCTTTGACATCGCTTTGGAGTGTTCAGGCTTCTGACTGGGGACACCTGCCCTGTGCGGCCTGCTCACCAGACTTTCCATCCACCGGGGCCTGGCCACAATCCGCCAGAGACGGCATCCTTGGAGGGCTAGCCAGGCGGCAGGATGCCTCTTCCCCTCTGCCCTAACCGCCTGCTGCCCTCAGCCTGGACTGTAGGGGACAGCTGCAGCCCCACCAGGGAGCCACTTGTCCTCAAAGTGGTTTTTGAGGGCATGGTGCTAAGTCAGAAGCATTCCTGTCCCTGTGTTTACGGAGCCTCCCAGGGTCCGGGAAGCTCCCATTGTAGAGAGCAGCTGCCAGGCCTTTGAAATGGGAACTGGCCAACTCCAGTGGCTTCTTTGCCATCGAAGCCACGTTCTGCATGGTCAGGTGTTGAGAAAGTACACGAGAGATGCCATCCCCCAGGTGACCGGGACAGGCCCTATTTTCCATGGTTCTGCTCCACAGTTTTTAAAACTTGAATTGTTGAACGATACTGTTAAAAGCCAGGGGTGACCTTCACACCGTTTTGGCAGTTGGTATGGCCTGGGCACCCGCCAGTCTGCGTAGGCGCCTGCCGCAGCCACTGCATGGCCCTCTCCGTGCGCACCGGCCGAGTGGCATTCCAGACGACCCTCCTCCTGAAACTGAGCCTGCTGTGTGCCAGCGCTGTGCCCGTTAGCACTTGCCAGCCGCCCCCTCATCGAATCCTGCCACATTCCAGCTCACATTGTGCAGCCGAAAACACGGGCTCAGAAGGGCCGTGTCGCTTGTCCAAGATGATGCTGCCAGCAAGTGGAGGAGCCCAGGTTTGAACCCTGGCCCTGGAAGCTCCAAGGCACAGGCTGTACCCTCTGAAACATCCAGCAGAATACCCGACGCAGTTCCTAAGTCTGTCTCAGGACGCTCCAAGGGGTGTCCCGGAGAGCTGGACGGGGCTGGAGGCAGCCCATAGACTGCATCGCTGCCGCCAATGTGCGCAGCTGCTCTGGGGCCCCCAGGAAAAGCCACAGTCCCACTCTGCAAGGCCTGGTGACGTGTACAGCCCCCGTCAGCAGGCCAGGCAATGCAGGCCTCTCTGGGGGAAGGCCTGGTGGTCCTCCAAACCCAGCAAAGTGGGGGACCCCAGACAGCCATGTCTCCTCTGCCGGCCCCTGTGTGTTCATCTCCAAACAAGGGAGTGAAACCAACTGATGCTTAGTTGGGTTTTCCACCTCCATGCTCTGTCCAGCTCCGGGGTCTTAGGTTTCCTGCCTGGGTTTGAAAGAGGCCCCTGTTTATCCCAAATATGGATGTTCTCAGCTTCCCATGGGGCCTTCAGTCTGGCTCCCAGGATTTAGGCTCAGGCTGCGCCTCTTGGTTCTGTGGACTTGAGACCCGATCTGAGAGGTCCTTCCACCTGCCCGGCCCATGCTGGGCCTCTCAGTCTTCTTAGTGGCCTGTCTGCCTGGATCTTATCTCCTGAGGGTTCGGGAACCCCACCCCGCCTCCCCTGTGTTAATGTTTTCCAGACAGGTTTGTGTTGAGTCCCTGCTACGCACAGGCATGAGGGATCAGGGCGGCGGAGCGTGGATCTCACAGGCGAGCAGGGCGGCGCCAGCCCATCAGATGCCCACAGACTCGTACAGTTATAAACCACAAGGAAGGAAGCATGCAGGGGGCTCCGACAGCCAGCGCAGGACAGCCCTGGGAGGCTCCAGAGGCTCCCAGGTGGTGTCACTGGAACTGAAAGCTGAAGAACGAGGGTTGGTGAGGCCAGGGGTCGTGAGCAAGGCAGCCTTGGGTCTCACACGAGTCCACTGAGGCGCAAACCCACTATCTTGCAGCAGACAGTGGGTTCCTTCCCCTCCTCCCTGGGGTCTGCCTGTACACTCTGCCTTTCCAAGTACAGACCAGGGGCAGGCCGCCTTTGAGAAATAGTCCCCTGTGGCCCAGCACAGGAGGGGAAGGGGACAGCCCTGAGGGGTCCTGGTTTTCCAGCCCCCAGAGGCTCCCTGCGCTGGCAGTGCCTGTGTCTGGGTCTGCGTCGCACACCAAGGCAGCCGTGGGTGCTCGTGAGCGGCTGTCCACAGCGCCGGCCGCAGACTGAAGGGAGGGTCACACTGAATCCCCAGTGAGCAGAGGAGCCGACCAGGGAGCAGAGGGGTCTCGTGGTCACTGGCGGTTGTTTCCCTGATAAAGCTGAGCCCGAGGGGACTGGAATGGTGGGTTCTAGCCCCAGACGCTCCCGTCTGTCTGTCTTCTGCTGCCCTTTAAAGAAGTACCGCGGGGTCCCCGGGGCTTTGCGGGGGGAGCCGGACCCCTGCGCAGCCCAAGCGTCCAGGAGCCGGCGTCCTGTCGCCCACACGTCCCGCATGCCTGGCCTGGTGGGCCTCAGCCCCCTGTCTAGTGAGAAAATTGCAGGGTTGGAATCAGCATTTTTTCCCCTTAAACATTTTATGGTTTTGAGAAGCTGGAACTGCAAAGAACACATGGCAGAAAAAGGAAAATAGACCCAGTTTTAGAACCAAAGGCGGGGCCAGTAGGAATAGTTTAGAAATATCTTCTGGGATACCCCTGTGCACCCACACAGTGACACACGCACACTCACGCACACGCACACACCCCCACACAGTTACACGCTCACACACGGTCACATACAAACGCACATGCCCACACCATCACACACACACACAGTCACATGCACATACACTCTCTGAGTGGGATTCTGATAAGAAAACCGTCTCCTCGGATAAGAACTCTGCGACCTACACCGGTTCCTTAAACAGCCCACTGCGCCCCAGTCTCCGCGTTGGTTGGGTCTCACACATGCTGCATGAGCTACCTTGAGGAGGGTCGGAAACTTTCGGGGTGGCGGTCAGCCTGCTCTCTTAAATGTCCGTGTTTAGAGCATGTTGGACTATGAGCCGTGGTCCCCTTCCCCGAGGTTTCACGGAAGGAAAGAAGGGTCTGGTTGCGGGTGGTGGCCACTGTCTCCCCATCCGCAGCTGCTCTGGCGCCTTTGTCTGCAGGGGCCACCTCGCCCCAGCACACCTCCCATTTGGGCCAACTGAGAGCCAGACAGCCTGAGACCCACCTGCGTGTCATTGCCTGGGTCCCCACAGTCCCACAGGACTCGTAAGGACAGAAACCTGAGCAAGAGATGTTGTCTTTTCTCCCCAGTGTTCTCCGCGGCATCATTTTCTTTATTGTGGTAAAATACACATAACACACAATGTTACCTTCGCCATTTTTCAGCGCGTGGTCCGTGGCATTTACGTAACACGCCTCGCTGCGTTCCGTGGCGTCACCGCTGAGCTTTGCCTCCGGGATCGTGGCTCCTTCCTTCGCAGTGCGGTGTTCCTAACATTTCTGTTTCAGCCGATTAGAACCCGCCGCTTGGCCACCTGCACTGGGTCAACAGGTCTCCACCCGGAGGGGCAGCCCCATGGCTGGGGAGGGGCCTGTGGAGAACCCCAGAACTCAGGGCTGTGCTGTGGGCGTCAGGGTGTGACACCGAGACGCTGAGAAATCTGCTCGGTTCACCTAGCTGGTCTGGCTCCGATCCTGCCGCCCACACCCTGCCCTCCTCAGACCGTCCTGGGGATTTCGTGTCTGAACTCCGGGTCCACATCTACACTGACGGGCAGTTCTCTTCTGCCCCTGAGGTTTCTGACCGAGACCAGCTGTTGCCGACGACCTGAAGTCTTTCCTTTCCAACAGGGCCGACCTTCTCTGTCCTTGACCCTTGGATATCCCAGCCCTGCCTCGTCCTGGGGGCGAGGTGGGGACGTCCGATCTGCACGGGGGACCGGCGTCCCGTGCACCAGCGGCCACGAGCCCACGCCAGGCCCTGCCGCCTCCCCTGCCCCTCGTCGGTGCTCGGTGTCCGTTGCTGCTCTGTGTCGCCTGCGCTGCCCGTTGTTGAAGGCTTTCTGTGATCTGTCGCTGTGTTTTCCCTCTAGTCAGGAGTGGCAGGAAAGGACGCCGGCGAGTGTTCAGCCTGTCGGAGGCCGACAGTCACGGCGGCCACTGGGTTTAGCGCTCCGAACGGCAGCTGCCACGGCAACCCACGCACAGTCAATTCAGGCAGGTCTCCTCTGTTAGCCGCTTGGCCGCGACGTCCGCTGCACGCTGCGTTTCCACAGCCGGTAGGGTCTGCACCAGCCAGGCGGGCCCGGCCTGAGCGCAGAGGGCTGTGCGCCAAGGCGGCGTTTCCTCAGGCTCCCCCAGCCGCCCTTCCTGCTCCCTTGTGGCCTCATCTCATCTGAGACCAAATCCCCGGCCCTTGACCGACCCTCAGGTCAGTTCTCCCAAGCCAGACCCGTGCGGCCTGGAGACGCCGTCCTCCTGCCCAGTCCCCCCCGACCCCCGCAGTTTAGGCCATGGGGCTTGGGCAGCAGTTGGCTGGTGAATTGGGGATTTGTAAAAGCAACCAAGTCACCTAGTTTCTTTTTTCTTTGCCTTTTTCCCCTGGCTTCACTCAAAGATAAGTGGCAAAAGCCATTTTCCTTATAAATGCCTCGATGGAGGTGACCGCACGTACACGTAGCACCCACACTGCCCTTGCAGCGGCCGAGGCTGGTCCGGGGGCTGCTGCCCAGCAGCCTGGCTCACTGTCAGGGCCCCCTCCCGCCTCTTCCCGTGACATCTCTTCTGTGGTTTCTGACGCACCCCCTGCCTCGGCAGTTGCGCTTGTCAGCTGGGAGCCTTTTGCCTTCTTTTCTGTTTAAAAGCTGTTTCCTCTGAGCTGTCCCCTCTGCTTGCCATGCAGGTGTCCTTTCTTCCCGCCATCCCTCAGCTCTTCCTTTCCCAGCCCAGCCCAGCCAACCCCGGTTTCTACTGGAAACTCTCACTTGACAAGGGTCAGTTGAGGACCAGCCCCAAAGCTGCAGATCAGCATCTGAGGTGCCGGCCAGGCACGTGGGGTGGCCTACCTCGGTGTCCTTGCAGGCCAGAGCCGCGGGGAGGCCCGTCCACCGCTCACGGAAACGTGGCCGTCCCAGGTTTCCCACTCTGGCCTCAGCTCTGTCTCCCTGGCCCATGGCCAGGAAGTCAGACTTTTCTCTGAATCCCTCGTGTCCTGGGCCTGGTCCCAACTTGTGACCTTAGAGCTCAAAACCACCAGCAGGCAGGCCAAGCCAAAGGTTCACGAGTGACCTTTGCAGCTCAGCGCTCGACCAGAAAATGCTTCCTCGCTGGGAAATTTCCCCCAGGGTAAAAACCTGGCAGATTCTCCTTTTTTCCTCTTTGTTGCTTGGATAAACGTGTAGATCACATGCAGGAAGCAGTTCTTAGTGAAACAGCGACAGTGACAGCAAGACAATGTGGTAGGCGGTGGCGAAGAAGAGGTTGCTTTTTTCCTTTTTTGAAAAAATAGGCTACTTTTAAGGGAAAAGCCAACCCTTTTAATAAAAATTGTTGGTTCTCTTCCTAAAGAGGAAACCAGTTTTGCGCGTGTGGTTTGTTTGTTAGTTGGTTTGCTCTTTTTAATATATTTGACTACAGCTTCTCCACACCCTTGAACATCCTCATCACCAAAAACCCCGTGAGGGAGCAGGGGGTGAGGTGTGCCAGCCTCTTTGACTATCCGCATGCAAATGCAGGCTTGAGCAAGGAGGGAAGCTTCCATGGCACAGTTGAGGAAACGTGCAGGAAACGCTTTGCCTCCCTGTCCCCGGATGGCCAGACAGCGCCGCTGGGGAATTAGTCATTTCTAACCCCGTCCTGAGCAGCTAAACTGACATGTGGATCCACCTGCGTGTGAGTCCGCAGGGACGCTGCCGCCCGCCAGAGCAGGTGAGCCTGCCAGAGAACCACAGCGCTAACCAGGTCAGGGCGTGAGCCTGGCTGACACCAGCCCAGCGCCACTAAGCGTCCCCACTGAATGGAGCAAATCAGTTGAAATTCAGAGAAACCAGAATTCGTATGTAATGTTTACTCAGCACTTCTGGGCTCAGATCACACCTCAAATCACTTTTTCCACTGGTGTCTGCAGGCGCCATTGCCCCCTCCCACGGTGAGGACAGCCCAGCAGCCCATGCAGCCTGCAGTGCTTTCCTCTGGAACTTTCTCTCGCTCTCTCTCTCTTCAAAAAAGCCTTAGGAAGAAGTTAATTGGGACCTTTAGCGCTCGTTTTGCCCAGAGTCCTGTGGGAGGAAGTGCCCAAGTGTCCTCTGGGAGAGTCCGCCCGTTCCCTGTGCCTCCCTCCCTGGCGGGCACCCTCCTCCCGTCCTGCATCCATCCTGTGTGCTGTTTGCTTTCATTTTGCGCTTCGCTTTTCCATTCTTTTACTCTATGTTCAGTTTGCTGTTCTGTTTTATTTTGGCCTAATTAAAAAATAATAATAACTGGAAGCACACCAAACAAAACAAGTCTGCCAGCCTTCCCAGGACGCAGGGCCCAGCGCGGTCGGCGCCTTCTGCCCGGGGCTGGTGGATCCCCTGACCCGGACCGACAGGAGTTTGCTTTGTGCCGCGCGCTGCCGCCTGGTGTTTTTAAGTGACGGGCATCTGAAGTCCTGGAAGACGTTTTGCACGGTGAACTCCAGTTGCATCTGGTGTGTCTGTCCAGGCAAACGCACCATTGGAAAGCAAATAGGCCATCGTCTGGCTGTAGGATTTTGAAAAGCACCAAGAAAAGAAATTGCCACTCCAAAAATAACCACATCGGGTGGAACCTCACCTGCCTTCCTCCTGATGTGGTTTCTCCCCCTGGCCCCTGTGGGGAAGCTCAGGATAGCAGCGGCCTGAGC